TATATATATACTAAAAAACATTGAAAGTATATACCGAAACTGATAACAAAAAAGTTTGATTYGATTTATTCCCCATTTTGCATAACCTTGCCCAAGTCTGTTCCCCATAAATAAATCAAGGTTGTACAAACAAGTACAAAACATGTTTTTTTTTTGTCTAAATAAAATTTCTTTTGTGCTTTCAGACAAACAGCCCTTACAAATGTGTTGTTTCRTATGTGTTTAATGAGATGAGATAGCCTGGGTGTGAGAAAACCCCYGAAGGTTTCAGTGAATTTGCATGCTTCGCTCTTACCTCTGCGTTTCAGTGCTGTACTGACCCCTGCCCACTTGATTGACAGCACAGAGTCTGAACTGGTAGGTCCTGGCAGGCGTGAGCCCACCCACCGACACCTCGGTCACAGAAGGATCAACCTCGGGCAGGTAGACCTTCCATGGAGAGTCTAGGCATAAGACATGGAGATTAGAGGCTGATAATATCTGGYTGAGGCAGGACAAACACAGTCACAGGGACACTCGGGACCTATTCATCAAAAAAAGAACAACGAAGGGAATAGATAAAATTGGTAGGAAAATAAGACTCAGGGGTGGCGTGTGAAAAAATAAAAGAAGTAGCCCAGGATGCAATTGGACGAAAAACTTGGAAAGGAGGAGGGGGATTAGTTAGGAAGAAAAGACGCTGCTGTATATTGTTGCCAGCTTATCTTTAGCTGAATATACTACAGACATATGCACTATTATCCCTAGTATCGCATCAGCCACGTGTATCTGTGTAAGTGAGAAGGATAGTATACAAGAACAGTGTATTACGGTCATTGTCTGATATAAAAAACAGTGTATTTACAGTGCTGCAGTCTCTCTAAAGTAGAATAAGGGAAAAAATCTAATCAGTGCTCAAAAACTCCAATCCATTCCTCACTGTCTGGGTTCATCCTTCACTGAAATCGACCAGTCAATTAGGCTCTCGCTTTATCCTCATTTTTTTCTTCATCTCTCCCAGCTATTACCACATTTTCTTTCTCCCTTTCTATTTCAYGATAGTACTTCTTCTTAATCATAATCTTGGCTTATTTATGTACTTCCAACAAAGCTGCTGTTGARTGATTGCAGCTCGGTTGTATCTCTATGAAAGCTAATCAGCAGGAAGATTTAACGGCTAATATTTATTTGTTGGTCCAGATTCTTCAGTTCTGGATGTGCAACRTAAAGCTCGCCAACCTGTCCCCTTTTAGCTCGCAGCCATCTCCTACCCATCTGTTTCCACTGTCATTCTATTCCTCGGTTCCTCGTTCCTCTCTCCTGCTCCTTTCTTTTTTGACAGAGAGCCAGCCTGCTGTTATAACATCTGTGGTGGAGAGAGGCTGAAACTCGAAACGGAAAGACAGACAGGCTAAAGTAAGGCTTGGGAAATTGGAATTTATATTTACGTTTATGCTAAAATTGCGTTTTTGTCTGGGTTTCACGAAAAAACGAATGCAAGCAGACAAGAAGTAAGCAGCTGTTTCATCTCTTAAGGGCTATAAAAGACACAAATACATACTGTTCTCAGAAAGCTCCAACACGTAGTACAGAAGAGGGGAGTTCCCATCGAAGGGGCGGAGCCAGGACAGGTGGACGGAGTGGGAGTCGGAGTCATTGAGGCGAGCCATTAGGGAGCGAGGGGAATGTGGCAGCTCACTGGGCGAAATAGAAATAAAACCATTAAACAAATGCACTATTCAAACAGACATGCACTTACTTTGTGCTTCAGTTTTTGAGTTTGTAAGAAAAACATGGCGCCAACGCCAACATCTGGTTTGTTAAACTTGCACCAGGAAAGTAGCTTTAACTTTTAACTGACAAAAACGAAAAGTCTCAAAAGCTCACTCAAAAGCAGCATATATTTAAAGTAATGGAATAAATCATACAAATCTTTTTTTATGCTAGAATGGAAAATAAAATATTTTCCAAAAAAAGTCTGTTATTTATTATATGTAGTTACTGATTCTTACTCATCGACTCCAGCTGGGGTAAAACCGTATGTTTATTTGGTTTCTAAACATTTGTATAACAAACTCCAGATCATATCCACTTGAATCTAAACTAAAAACAGGAAATCAATAATGAGATTTTTTTATTTTTTAATATAAAAAAACAACTCTCCAAACCCTTAGGTGAAAAGTTTCCTTGCAGTAAAAACTAAAAGTGAAAATAATAATAATAATGATAATAATGTGTTAGGACAGCAAAGAAAAGTTTTTCCACAACCCCACATCTCCTAATATGGCAAACTGTATTTTTTTATACTTCTTATCCAGATTAGGCAAAAAAGATATAATGTGTTAATTAGAGAGCTTTGGATGTGCTGGCAGGATCTTTTTCTCTAACATGCTTGAATAAGACTTTTGTTCTGTTTTTTCTGCAAAGCTAATGTAACTAAGAACTTCTTATAGCTTCGTATTTATTATGAAAATATGAAAATAGCATAAATCCTCCTAAATAACTGTTAGAAAGACTTCTTTAATATGCGCCTTTAAACAAAAGGGCCTGTCAGGAATTATAATAACTATGTTACTGCAACTTATAAACATGTCTCTGAAGCCATTACATAGATTTCTTTTTTTGTGTTGAAAATGTTCTACTGTAATTATTTTGCCTTTTATTCACCATCTCTTCCAGTGTCTGAGATCTTTTTACATAGGGCGGTGGTTGGTAAGCATTTTTTCTTACACGCGCTGCATCACAACAAATCTATCTCGCTGCATCTAGTAAAAGGAATTTTCAGATATTTGCCCATCCCCTGCAGATATTCATGCTTCCCCGCCATGTTATTAACAAGAAACACTGCACAGATATATACATGAAAGCAATAAACAGAATTCAAATATCTGATTACACCAATTTTAGTGCATCATAATTCTCTCTAAATATGGTCGGCTTGACGGAGGGAAACAGTAACGGAAGCAGAACAGTTTTGCTTTTTGTTAAGGCTGCAGGTGCAGAAATGGGGATATTTACAGTCAACACAAAAGAACCAAATAAATATATCAACAGTGAAACCATGATAAAAGAGATTATCCCTTGTGCTGCAGTCTGGCTGCATGTCATATTCATGAGGTTATTAATTATTTCTAACAATCACAGATGTGTGAATGTGCTGTCCAAGGCTTGTCCTTTGAGAGRGAGCAAACTGCTATCAGCGTCTTCAGAAAATGCAGAGTCACAGATGTTTAGCAGGTTTTTGTTTTTGCTCAAACAGTTTCAACATTTTGTATTAAAGTAGGCAAGAATCAAGAACAGAAGAGCGACAGCGGGAGAGACGCTGGAACGGTGAGTCRCAATGTGGCGGGAGAAGCAAATTAGGCCGGGACAGCAGTGAATGAGTCACGAAGACAGCAACGAGAAACCAAAACGTTTCCATTTCTGAGCTGACATGATGATATTAATTAATGGATGAAATTAAAGAAATGTTAGAGCAGCTACCTTCACGACCCTTCCCACAAAACACACGCAGCCACACTCTCACAGACACAAGAATGTGTCTTATGGGAGTTGAACCAATAACCTGCCGGTAATTAGTCTGTCTCCTCAGCCGCCAGCGTCTGTTAGCCTCTATGACCCATTGATACAGAGCTAACGAGAATGTCAGTCACACACGTGGACCCACACACACGCGCACGCACACACTTGTGGGGGAAGCTGAGCAGAAATCCCTTCATTCCCCTCATGTTTTCATACAGCTGTAAACACAGATCTGCTCCCTCCCTCCCTGTTTGACATGCGTAACCTCTTTTCTCTTCATAATTCAGACCAATGTGGACTTGCATTGCGCCGTTCTCTTTCTCCTACCCTGCAATTATATTAATATATCATAAGTGCCTTTTTATAAATATATTATCAAAGAGCCTATTAATATATAAAGGCTGCTACCTGTTCTCTCACAGCAGCTGTAATGAGGCTGTGTGGGTTGGAGCGTGGGATACATTTAAATATGTGTGTGTGTCATGTTTTAATGTGACTGGCAGGAATGCCAGACACACGGTGGGAAACATTTGGAAACGGCTCACTCAAACAACTTGAAGGCACTAATATRCACACACATCACATGCACATATGTTATGCGACTGCAGAGGATCAGCTGTCAGTGCCGAAGTCTTGTAATCCTGAGGCTACAGGTTTGAGCCCAGGTTGCGTCAGGAAGGATATCAGGCATAAAATGAATGCCAAATCTTTTTGTGCAAAGTTTGCTCGCTGTGGCAACCCCTGAAGAAAGGAGCGGGCAAAAGAATGACAACAGAAACAACATGAACAGGTTGTATTTAATTTACAGTGTGTTTGTGAAAGCACACAGGAAGAAAAGTACTGCATCCAACAATGGACTGAGAAAAAAATATATATTTGATACCAAGTATCTAGAGGCTAAGATTATTTGAAGAAATGCGTATCACCCACTGCCTTTCACATGGGTTTTAAGAACATCTTTTCACAAGAAATAATGAGTTTATAGTCATTTTAGTCAAATCTTAAAAATAAAATTTGATGCAATTTTATTTAATTTTGCAATACCTCACATGATGATTCATGCTTAAAGTACGTGTTGTGAATTACTGCTATCAGCAATACATGTTGAGGTCAATTTGGGGTGGCAGCCATCTTGAATTGGACTGAGTCCAAAAAATTATCAGGTGTTGATGTACAGCCTGTAACTTTTAGAGGCTTTCACTCAAATCTGTCCAGAACTACACGAGATATCTTGCTAAATAACAGACAGAACTGGTTACAGTAGTTAATGATCAATAAGAACTCAGAGAACAAGTTGGGGATAAATCTCAGCTACTGAAAGTCCTGTTAAACTGTATAAAATTTTGGATAACTTATACCAACTTAAGAAAATTTTGTCCAACACTGAAGATGTCTACATTGAAGATGGAATAATATCTTAAAAATTAAAATATATTTTGCCATTGCTACAGACAAACACAAACAAAGTAGTGAGCAACATCTTCTACTGTTATAATTATAAAAATTGCATATGAACATCAGAATTATTGTCACAGTTTTGTTGTGTGGAACCCAAAATGCAGGCAGACACAAGGACTTGAATGCAAACAAAACTGATTTGATAAATGACAAAAGAAAAAGGCTGATGTGGAAGCAAAAATACAAAAGATAACATGGACAGAGACGAGTCATGAAAGGCAATGATCCAACGGGTAAAAGACAACAAGACTGGTTAAATACTACAGAGGATAATTGGAGAGTGGAAGCACATGGGTGATTACTGACTATGGACAGGTGAGTGTGGCAGGCTGGAAAAACACTAAGAAGCTGACTGAGGTAAACATGGCACAGGAAACTGAAAACAGGAAATGAGAAAATAAGACAGACAGACAAACAAACAGACAAACAAACAAACAAACAAACAAACAAACAAACAAACAAACAAACAATCTGAAAAATACTGACAAAAATAACCATAACACAAGAATCATGACAATTATAGAATAAAAAAACACAGTTACTTTATAAGACATTGTTCCCTAACAAGTTGACAACAATTTATTTGTTTCATAGTGTAGAAAATGACTTGTTTGCCACTTTGTTTGAATTATATTTTGATTTCCTTTTAATTAAGTATCATAAGGTGATTTCCTTGTCAATCATATTTGCAATTTGAATCAGCCCGACTGCTCACTATGGCTAAATTGTGTTTCATCTTGCGTGGATTGCTTCTGCATTAAAAATCAGTTGTGTTTGATTGTCAGGAAAGCAATTTGCGCTGTCAGGAAAAACTGATATTTACACTGTGACAGAAATATAAAAATAATGGAAAATCCCAGATCAACCTTCTATCTGAAGATGTAAGATAAAGTGTATGAAAATAGCAGAACAAACATAAAAATGTTGTTTTTTTAATTCAATAAAGTGTAATTTTGTTTGGCTTGTGTATCAGGATAAAAGCTATAATTCTTTGCTCAACATCTCTTTTTTTGTTCCTGTGTTGCAGAAAGTTTTGTAAAACTAACTTGAATAATCCATTTACTCCTTGAACTACAGTTACAATCAGCACAGAAACCTCACTATCTCTGAGCATTTTGAGTGCCGTAGCCACAAAGTGACACACATAAGCACACAAGTGTAAATCCTACTCCAGTATAAATTACAAGACTTCTGTATAAGCTCCTATTGGATTTGAACTGGCACGTAAATCAAGCTTCTTATAACTTGTTTGTTTCTAAAGTTTAAGAAGAATGCTGAGTCAAAACAGGCCGAGGGTAAGTGACTGCTAGAACTCACATGATTTCGAGGCGTGCAGAGCGGGAATCGTTGCCAGCTTTCGATGTCACAGTGCAGGTGTAGTCCCCGATGTCCCCGGACCACGTCTGGCTGATCGTAAGCGAACCTTGTCGAACGGAAACACGGCCGCCGCTGCTCGGTTTAACAGGAATGCCGCCACGATCCCACATGAAGCTGCGGCACATTAACATAAACCATTTTAAATAGGGCGGAGAATCGATAAACTTAGGTGTGCGTTTAATGAAAACATTGATCGTCGGGTACCTGATATTAATCCTGGGGTCATGTGTAGCATCACACTTCAGAACTGCTGTGGTTCCTTTGATAACGCGCTGGTCGGCTGGAGGTACAGAAATAACTGTGCGGCCTGAGAAAGACAAAATATAACACCCTTAGCACCCTCATCTCATACCATAACGCCTAGTCCTGTTTAAATGTCTGCATTAAAAATGTAGTTGCTCCAAAACAATAAGACATTAATTTTACTGCAGGGACTATAAGAGATAAGCATGAGCAACAAAGAAACCTACAGTACTCGTACTGCTTACACGGCACAGTCTATCAATTTGCTGATACTTTCAGGTGTAAGACAGGTTTTAAAGATAAAAGTTTCACTAATGAAAAAAAACATTCCAGCACAAAGAGGAGGATCTGTGTTTCTTTACTTTACTTCTCTGTCTGTCTGTGATCTGTTTACATTTATTTTACAGGTGAAGTTAAGTCCTGGCCCATCGAACTGAGACATGTTTGATATAAAGCTGTCAGCATAAATGCACAGAGGTGATGATCCACCTCATTTGAATAATAAAACGACAATTTCATTTCACTGCCGCACGAACCAGCTGCATCAGTAAGCAGTCGTAGATGTGTTCACTATTCTGAACTAATGCAACCGGACAGGGATAGATAAACTGCTGTTCCATGTCTGTTTTACTCTCTTTGGGAAAAGGCATATTGAGCTGTTTGATGTATTTTTGGTCCATAGCATGTGTTTGCATGTGTCTTACTCCACACGGTGAGTGTAGCCGTGGCATTGACGGTTCCCTCAGAGTTGGAGGCGATGCAGGTGAATTCTCCTGAATCCTGGAAAYTGACTGGCTGAATCTGCAGACCACCAGATTGCAGCAGCGCGAACCTTGGAATCTGGACAGAGCCGCTGGCTATGACCTGCGCTCCTACAGCGGGCGAAAACAAGAACTTTAGCCCAGAGAGAAGGAAAGAGCGTGAATAGTTCCATTCCAAACAGATGCTAGTGTGTGTGGCTCAGCACCTTTCCTCCAGGTAATGGCAGGTTTCGGAGCTCCAMTGTTCTGACAGGTAAACACTGCGGYGTCACCATCCGTTACTGTTTGGTCCAAGGGAGGGGATGATAATGTAGGGCCCACACCTGAAAGACAGGAACTTAGCATGAAGAGCTTTAGGGTGGATGCTAAAACTAAGAGTTTAGATAAAGCGGGAAGCAAAACTGAAGCTCAGGAGTAAACAGCAAAATGAAAAACAAATGGAAGAAAGTSTTGGTCTAAACACCAATGCAATATCTCTGATCAATGGGGGTTTTATTTACTACCTGCTCCTACGTGTGTTCGCATAAAAATGGAGACAGCGGAGGAGAGGATGTCACATGGAGGAGGGATTTTTTTATATCAAAAATCTCTAAATCAAATGTAAACCTGTAAACCATCAAGTCAAAGTCCAGTGTTTAGTTGACTTTGTGTGCCGACCTATTTTAATAAAAAAAGAAGAAACTGTGGGGCTGTCCATTTCCCAAAACAGAAAACAAAACACATTCAGTATTTCTTTTCTCCACCTCAAATAAAACTCATTAGATCAGCAATATGTGTGATATTTAAATGATTAATATTTATTTTTTTTACTAGAATTTACAGCAAATAATTTTCTGGTTTTGGAGGGACTGGAGGCATGGTTTAGTTTTGATGTAAATCTTGTACTTTAGGAAAGTACTGCCTGTGTGTGATGTTGGTGGCCTGATATTTATCACAAACCATCATGAAAGCTTGGCAAAGTTGCCAGCTATAATGCTATGC